AGGTTTCAAGAAGAAGGTGCGCATAAAATAGCATTAGATTTGTAAGGCAACATTAACCATCACATTTAGTAGCAATCATGGCTCTACATGCGGAATGGATAGATTTTTGTTGACAGGATCCAAATAATTCCATCAAACAACTTTTTAGCCAAGTTGGTGATCATGCCATATTATCGTCTATTTGCTGCGAGCATACCAGTTAGATAGGTGGCGTATACGACAGCGTAAACAGTACAATGAATGACCCGCCAAATGACGTCTTAGCATTTCTCAAAATCATTCATTTTGAAAAGAATAATCGAGCAACTTCTTTTGTCTTCCAAAACATTCAATATACTGTAGATCGCGTAAATTATGTCTTCTATGAATGCTAATTGAACCATTTTGTAGAGTAGGATCTATTCTTTCTAATATATTTCCATGTCAGAACTACTGAATCTTTAATTTCTATGGGCTTAGTGCGAACTTATCCCTCAACCTAATAAATCAGAGAGCCATTTTAAATGGAGGCTTCAAGCGTGAAAGTTCCGGTCTGTTTTATTTTTAATACATGGCATGTCAAATTTTTTTATCCTAAAAGACACCTTTCGTCTAACCAATGACCTGATCCTGACACGGAACAACTCTGGAAACCGAAAGGTCGTCTTGTTCTCCCCTATCTTGGACATTAATGAGCGTGAGTATCGGGTGTACGATAGATTAAATTAGGATTTTTAGTTTCTCAGAATAGAAGTAGCCGCCATAGATCAGTTGGAGAGCGTGGGTGTAATAAGTCCAAGGTCGCAGTTTTAAAAAATAGATGATAAATAGAAAAGATCACAACAATTAAGTCTTGACAAGCGATCTTTTAATTTTTATTAACGAGCGAGAGCGTTGTGTTGCAGCCATATAATTTGAAACTCGGTTTACACGTGGAATAGTTTCTTACAGATCCACCTTTGTTGGGACACTCTCAAGAAACAATTGAGCAATTGTCTACTTAAAAGAGAGCCTAAATTACAGATGCTTGATGACAAGAATTTTGAAGAGAAAGAGGCCTGTGCATATCATGAGGACCCGTTTATGAAGGTGAAGAAAATTGAGAAGCTGGATTAACAATGAACTTCCGCTCTTTCTACTCTCTGGAGCTATAGGTAACAGAGGCAGTTAAAGGCGAATTAGTAGAACTGTTAAGAGTCGGCTTTAAATGCAGGAGTTATCAAATTTCATAAATTGACAGTTTGGGGAGAGGAATGGACAATGCGATACAGAGCAGCTCTCAATGGTGATATCAATAGAGATTTCTGATGAAATCCAATAACTATAAGGTTTTTAAAGTATAATAACAGCTTTGCAGTGAACAGAAGCTCAATTCAAAAAATTGTGATAATCAAGTATTTTGCATTATCACTTATAATAAAGCGCACAGTTTGGCATATGTGCGTCGACTGTTTCTCCGTCTGTCACGAAATTAGTAAATTCGCCTTAAAAAGCGAAAAGCGGTTATCAATC